GAGGTCGCAGAACGACCTCCGTCCTCCATAAGCGCAGGCCTGGGGGTGACAGGTGAGGCCATCTGTCACGCGCGGCAAGCGCGTTGCGAAGCGCGCTCGCTTCCAGAGAGCACAGGGAACATGGGGTTCCCACACGGGGGGGGGGTCGTCTACTCGTCTGTAGATGACCCGAGGTATGTCGGGGCACCAGGGACTTCCTTTCTAGGGTATACCTGGTTCCCCTGCTATTAGTACCCGAGACGGTTTTTAGTCGGTTCGAGTCCGACATGCCATCGACAGGTGGTATCCGAGGGGATTTCCGCACGGAAAAAAAAAAAAAAAAAAAGGTATGCCTCGTTGTGGCGCATTGTGTTGTGTGCTGTGTGGTTAATAGAAATGAGAAACAAAACTGACGCGATAAATAGATAAAAACAATCTTTAAAGTAGGTTGTATATCGTATCAAAATTTGAGTTCAATAAATGCAGAACATTTTGAGGTTTTGAAACGTACATAAACTAGCTTATTTGCTCTGGATTTGGAGTCAAATAGTCTAATTCAAGGTTGGTTGGCTGACCAGGATCGCTTAATCGTGTCACATAAAATCGGTTGAAATCGGTTTGTCTGGACGCTAATCGGCCACTTTTATCATCTGTTGTTCGTAGGCGGGATAATGAGCGGACGTGTACCGACTGGTTACCGATTTGGTAGTCAAGGTCAATATATAATATCTTCAAAAGGATTGTTATGCAGAGTAAAATAAAAATTGGCGATTTCCTCATGTAAAATAAAATGAAATTAAAATTAGCTATTTAGTTGTACGTGTACCGTGTGGACTAGTAAGCCAATTGAATTGCAAATCTCTAATAGTTGTAAAATTGTATAGTGTGGAAATCGTTTTAGTAAATTATGGGCCAACGGAACGCAAGTATGTCCATTATTAAAAAAAAATGTGTCACGTTCCTCAAAATCTAGATATATACTGTTGTATCGCTAAGGAGAGAGCCTGGACCTTTGTCACACAGGTTTCGAACCTACTACGAACTCCAGCACTCACTAAGGTGTCATGTATGTTATATTTATTATAGTAGCATAACAAATCTATGTACCTACTTACCTTTTTCAGACAAATAAACCTTATTATTATGAATTAGTTGTTTTATCTATTTTGTATTAATTAGTGAGATATTAAACAGAAGGATATATTCAATGCGTTGTTGATTTATATAACTTCGTGTCAACTATAAACAACAACAAAACGTTGTGTTCGAACGAGAAGTTTTAGAGGAGAGGAGAAAGAGGAAGTAGGGGAAAGTAGATTATATATGTACAATAGCGTACACTAGGGATTGCATGTAGCTCCGTAACCGAAATTATAGGATAATCGGATAACTCAAAAGGAATAAATTTGCCCCGTTTTTGCAACATTTTTTCATTGATATAATACTTACATAGATGAGTAATTACCGCCTAAAATCGTTGCTACTGCACATCTGTCCACAGGCATATGCGTAGCAAACGTCAATTCAGTGTTCAATGTGGCGTCAACCGAGTTGAACATAGCGACACATGACAGTAACAATCGCCAAAATGGGTAAATGCGTAGTGAAAGAATGCGATTCAAGGTCACAAAACCATAATAAATCATGCGGAATTACTTATCACGTGTAAGTTTATGGTTTTTGTATTGATAATATCGTAAATAAGGCTATAATTGAAATAAAACATTGATAATTGTAATTTAGAATCAGTGTTACCATTAAAAAATCATTTTTGTTTTCCCACATTAGTGGGAGAATTTATAATTTATGAAATAATATGTTTTTTACTGTTTTTAAACATTTTGTCAATAATAATAAAATATACTAAGAACGGTAGTTGTTAGGGCTGAATTGATCACTTTTTTAGAGACCCGTTGAACGTTCACCTTCTGCCAAGCTCGCAGTGCTGGAGACTTGTGTATAAAGGAATTAATTCATTCATTCATTCATTTTTCTTAATTAATTATCAAATATAAATAACAATTGTACAAAAAAATATATATATATAAAATAAAAAGTAAATAAATATAAATAAAAAAATATAAAAAGCAAAAAAAAATATATATTTATTATATTTTTTTTTATTTGTATTTTAAAATATTAAAAGAATTTGCAATACACCCTGGGGATTATTTATTATCAGTACAAGTTGATCATTCACTTTTACTATTAAATGCCATTATTTATACATAGGTAAAAATAAGATTGTATCATGAAAGTAAAATATTCACACAAACTTATAAAAAAGAGTCTAAAAGACAATTGTATACAAAACTGATGCTTCATAGCGGAGTTTGATTTTACACTGAATATAAACCCTTTTAACCAAATATTTCTAGTTATTTTATTATTTATACCTATTCCATTCAATTCGAAATATATTATTTAAAATATTTAAATTAATTTATTTTATTACAAAATTGTTTTAAAAAAAAATTGTTTCTTGGTTGTTATGGGTAAAATTTCATACGGTAGTCAACACTGGCCCACCATCGTAAAGTTATGTCTTTGTCTTTGTCTAATCCGAGCGATGGTATTGTTCTTTTTTCGCGTGTAAATGAGACATAAATATGTTTACTGTCAAATGTTTAGTGGTATCAAAGCTACGTCGTCAAAGTTCAAAAGTGGTTACACTTTTTTCGACGTGTGATAATGAGGTTTGCTTCTCTGGTGTTGTTTTAACTCAATGCATTTTTTATTAACGCTCGGGTTTATATAGCCTTTCTCGATAAAATGGCTATCCAAAAGAATATTTTAATTCGAAGCAGTAGATCCTGAGATTAGCGATTGAAAAAAGAGCGAGAAAAACAAAATGAACTATCTTTCATAACTCTTACATTACAAAAATATTGTCCCTTACAGAACCTAATAAAATGGTGGTGCCTCAAATAAGATAGATTTCTCTGCTTAAAATGAATCATTTTGCCTTAATCACTAAATGTTACATCTTACATAGCATAGATTATCTTCGATCATCAACTAAATATTTTTATTTTTTTATATCTTCAAATAAATATTAAAAGTAAATGATTTGATAATAGCCAAGTATCACGTCATGTAAAAAAAAGACAAAGATGTACTGCTTTTTGCACTTTATGGTTTTGACGTTTAATAAAAAGATACTGGTTTGACGTGACAAACACAAATAAACATCGCGTCAAACAGTAACACTCCACAGTTTCATCTGTATTTGAAATTTTAATTAACATGCTATTGTAATAATCAACAAGATTTTACAATTATTGTTCCTGTAAATTTATACGAGAATAGTTTGAAACAAAAACTGCAATGTACCTACCTACGGCGAGCGTACTAGGTTCCTGGTACAAATTTCATAGGCAAACATGCTCGCGAAGTGCTCGAACATGTATTACAAGAACTTTTAAAATTATCGTTTAGTCACAGTGATATTATTGAATAATAAAAAAGAAACTTATAGAGAGTACGATATTTTATGTTATGCCTTATTTGCATTTCATTTCTGTCTGGAAAAGTCTTACCGCTACCGCGGGTCAGTTTCATAGCTTTACTGTGCATTTAACTGCACAGTTTAGTCAGTGCATTTTTTGGAAGGAGGTAAACAATACTTGATAGACACATACTTACTAGGTTTTACATAAAGACTCCTGCTTTTCAGCACTTCTGTCAGAGCTCTATGTTCTGTCAGCGTATAATACAATCAAATATCGTTAGTAAAAATTATTTCTTTGTATACATATCTAATAATTATATATTACGTAGGTATTTCGAATGTAGGAAACAGAATAAATTATGTAAATACAATAAAGGCCACTATCGAATACCTACTAATTGAATATACAGCTACAAATTCTGTAGACGTCGCGTGGCTAGCTTGTCTACAACGCTACCGAGAGTTCTCAAACCATTACGTCAATTAAAGATGACAAACTGCAAACAATTCAAATTTGCCATGAGATACCCAACATCATTAACTAATAGACAACTTGTTCTACGTAAATATTTTACTATCAATTAATTACTTCCCTAATACCACACATCACCTACACGAATGAAAAATTAGATGAAATTCAACAAATATATTGAATCATCATCATCATCATTAACAGCCTATAACAGTCCACTGCTGGACATAGGCCTCTCCTTAGAAAGGAGGTTTTGGCCTACTATACCACGCTGGCCAGACGGGTTGGTATAGGGTTTGTTTCAAGTTTTCCTTCTCTTTGCAGTGCTGTTGTCCTGCGTAGTTTGGCATACGGCATACGGCATATATTGAATGGCACAGTAGATTCCATTTGGATTTGATTAGAGTTTCTCTTATTGTAGCGTGAAGATAATAATGGCAAAATGTTATTAAAATGGTTATAAAATCTATAAATAGCAACGACAACCTACCTATTAATAATATGAACGTTTTGACCTCAATACTGTTTTTGAGGTTACGAGTCTAGCCTAGCTGGAAAAAAAAAGAAAAAAGTACAGAGAAAACTATGGTTTAACCAATTTTTTTTTCAGAGAAATGAGCATAATAAAAATATAGAAAATCGAGAATTTGTCTGTGATTTAGTGACATGAATTTGTTATGTAGCTCTCTATATTGTACATTTGGTTTTATTGTAATTTCATGATCAGCACGTGATGAATCAAGAATATTTCGTGATCTTATCTGTTGCATTATAATCTTGATTACCTGTGTCATTACGTCATACACATTTATCTCGATTTTTGTCCACCGTTATAATAACCGGTATGATAGTTGTAAATGGCAAAATTTTTGATACAATCCTTGTGTTTACTAAAAACACTGATATGGTTTCGTAAATTTTATAGTTATCAGTTACCAGTGTATCATACACAAAAACATAATAAGCAAAATATCGTCCGAAAAGAAATTATCGTTAGCGAGTGTAACACAAACTTAGTTATCCACTGTAAAGCTGTCACAAACATGCTTGCCACTTATTTTTAGTCTATATTATTCTAGAGATGTGATTTATCGTTACCTCGTATGGGGAACGGCTTTGTCATAATAGTCTCCGTAGTCGGTGGCAAGAGCCGCTGCGTCTCCGGAGACATCACACTTGGACACAAATTTAACTCATGTTTTTTGCTATCACTATTATTGTTAACGCCACCGCGTAAGCGCAACGACGGCGACACGTTTTGCACATCCATCTGTTAGCGCTATTCGAGCATGACTGACGCCGACGCGAACAAATGAGTCGCAGCGCAGCCCGCACCCGCGCGCTCTACAGTCTACAGCTGATTGTAAATCGCTAAGGCCCCGTCCGCACAGCGATATTTTACCGCGGGTTTTTTTTGCAAAATTCCGTGACATATGGTATCTCTAGAGTGCTATCTGGTGCTGGTGCTGATACAAAATGAACGAAAAAAATTAACATATAGGGAGTTTATTGTTATCCTTTTAACCATATGAACTAGTTAGTTAGGTGTTCAGATCTGAAATGCATCGGTGGTCACTTACCGTCAGGTGACCGGTATGCTTATGTGCTCCCTGATTTGATACAACATGAAAGCGATACGGTGGCGATTTATTTCCACAGAATTTTGCGAATAAAAAAACGCGCCGTGAAATATCGCTGTCTAGAAGGGCCCTTATTTCCGCAGAATTTTGAGGGAAAAAAATGCGCGTCGAAGTATCGCTGTGCGGACGGGCCCTAAAAGGTGTGATAGAGATAGCTATAGTTCTCTTCTCTCTATCACATTCAGTGCCCCTGCCTTGCATCTGCCTTTTGCGTGTTCTGCGTTCTGCGACATCGACATTCAAGTGCAAGGGCAAAAGGATGAAGTCTCCGTGTTCGCGCCGTGAGTAGTCGTACGTCGCCGTCGTCTTTTGGCCTGATACGTCACAACACTAAGTACTATTTTTTAGGCAAATTGCCATCAAACGAATGTAAACACCATCAAAGAACGCATATTGTTATTATCAATACCACCTTTATTCCCTTCTGATATAAATCAGAATCGCTAAGATTGGTTTACCGAGTAGTGAAATGATCGAATTCGTTACGTAGGTATGCGTAAGTCAGAAGGAATTTAAAGAAATTATATGAATGTTACATAATAGGGACTCATTTTTTTACTAGTAATTAATTGTTATCGTAAATATCCGAAAATTACACTAATTTTCTATATATATTTTTTTTGTGTGCAGGAAAACCCACACGAAGTAATGATCCATAGACCAACTGACTTTGTACGAAGGGTGTTTTCAGCGAACAGTTATCGATGAAGGGTAATTCGGCATTCGATTCTGAGCTCACTAGGAGGTGATATTGTAGTAGGTATATTATAATATAACTCAATGGGAGGTGGCGACATATTCTTTATGGCTGAGTTATTCATAATTTTTACTATCGGGTGATGGTTCAAAAAACAATAATTTTTAGAGCTTTAATTCAACTAGTTCAATTCAATTCTACAAATATTTAAGTCATTGTTTCTATGCCAAATATAATTTTACTGGATTTCAGGACACTTAATATCGATAAATAGGGTATTACACATTACGCCTAAAAGTGTCTAAATTAGATTCTATGGTGCCAATAATCTACTTAAAAACACGAAAATTTTAATCAATCTACAAAAGTCATGAAATTTTTACATTTTCAAATTTCGCACGTAATCTGATTAAAAATCCATTCCTCTTGAAATGCAGTGCATCACGAAGGTCAGCATTAGGTAATTAGTAAAAACAAAAACATAAAACTTACTTTTAAATGTATGCTTACGCGTGTGATGTATACATACCTACTTATAATTATGTGTATGTGGGTACGAGTCAGAGATTTCAGACCGAGAACACCACAGAAATCGCAATATTGTGTCTTATTATTACGATTTCTATGGAGAACACGATAAATGCAATACGGTCGAAACGTCAGCCAATTCAAAGCGTAATTCAATGTTAAAAACTATTATAAGTTAACTTAACGGAATGTCACCACCCCTATTCATCCCGAGGATGTCGTAAGAGCCTACTAAGGGAACAAACAGCGCACGACAACAGCACTGCAAAGAGAAGGAAAACTTGAAACAAACCCTATACCACCCCGACTGGCCAGCTTCGTACGTGGCCAAAACATCCTTTCTTAGGAGAGGCTTATGTCCAGCAGTGGACTAGTAAAGGCTGTTGATGAAAGTTAACCTTTAGACAAAAAATAAAAGGATGTTTATAGGGAAATCGAGATTCGTCTGGGTATAAAAATTAAACGAAATTATTGAAATTGAGATGAATATAGAAAAAAAACAATCCCTGTAATACAAAGATTATAATAGCATATCCTCTTTGATGTACCTTGGACCCTTTCACAGTTGTACTTGAACATATTGAACTCAACTGATGATAAGGACTTGTTATTAAGTACTATTGTAATATTATGATGTTAGAGACCATATGTAACTTCCTTGTTAATGTTTTATGGTGAATAAATCTAATATTATTATTATTAAATTAAATCAATATTTATAATGCCCACAAACGTAAAAAGTACTATGTTGGAATAAAAAAACATTATTTTAATAAAATTTCTCTTGACAGTGTGTTTTTTTTTATAATGAATTTTATGCATTAGTAGTTAGTAGATAAAATAAAATTCATTACCTACTTTTAAAATATGTCTAAGCGTGGATGTGACTGTGTCGTTCATCAGCGGCGTGCACAGGATTATGACACTAGGTATGCGGCGGAGTAGAAATTATTTACATCTGAACATCCCGTCCGTCCGTGAAATCAGTCCACACTGTACTAAAATTACTAAACAGTATGCAAGGAAAACAATATAATTTAATCGTGTGTACACAACCACACAGCCAATTATACGTTTCATAACTTTTAACATGAAACTTGCGAGTTACATTTCCGTTTTGCTGGTTTAATTGTTGTAACTCGGGTACACACCTACCTTTAGACACAATTTTAATCTTTTCACTGAATGGCAATTGTGAGAACTTGTTATTTTTAATTTTTAATAGACATACATTTTCCAGACATAACTCACAATCAAATAACATTTTAAAAAAATCAACGGAACTCAGTAATAAACTGTTAAATGTACACACTTTCAAATGTTAAAATTAAAAATAAAACTATAATTATACTGGCGGAAAGAAAATAGTAAACAATGCTTATCACATGAAAAAAGCAACATGGCCCCCGCGAACACGAAACATATTAAACAAATAAAACTTTACCATATTCAAAATTCATAATCCGCATATATGATTTATTATATTTCTGACTTGTTGTTTAGTCGATTTATTGGCAACGAACATTTCCGATTACTCCCGACAACTGCCGAACGGCGAACTTCAGTAGCCTGCGGCTGGAGGCGGGGAAAAATAAATAAATGGGTGTGTGCGTTTGCGAACTGTGCACGGACACCAAAATTACTACACACATGCGAACAAATTTCCTGCGGCACGGTGCGTGAGTTGGTTGGTAGGTACAACGCCGCTTGCTTGTCGGTAAACGTCTGGCAAACATAATGTTTATTGTTTGTGTGCTTTCAAATAGGTGCTTTTTATAAAATAGTAGGCGTTTTTAAGTTATTATATTACTGATTTATTGATTTATTTACTATTAATTAAAGTCATCTAAAACGTACGAATGTTTTATTAAAATGTCTGTGAATAGCAAGTAAAGCACTGCATTTCTGCCTACAAGGAGCGCACGCCCCTGTCGTTCATACGGCCTAGTGTTTTCCGTAAATTCGTGTAAGCAACGGATCGAAAATATTTTCTAAGGTGAAATAAAAATCATCTGAATTTTATTTGAACTACTACAATGACCTTGGTATTAATGACTGACCCAAACAGTCTTACTGTTTGGGTCAGTCATTAATACCAAGGTCAGACATCATTGTACTAGTTTTCATTGCATTTTATTTACACGCCATTTAGTAAGTAGGACAAGTTGTACGATACATATTAATTGTAAGATAATTTCTTTGTTCTCACGTGTTCTTTTATACTTCACACACTTCTCACATACCTGTCTGATCCCTAACTAGGCAGAGCCTGCTTTGGTCACCAGACTGTTGATAAACATACTTAAATATTTTTAAATACATACATATTTTAACTTTATAATAACTTCACACATCTCTCACTGCAAATCGCACAACAACCGGTTCTGTGCTGCACCAGGTCGTCACACCACTTTGTTGGGGGCCTACCGACGCTGCGTCCAGCAGTGGAGCTCTTTCGGCTATGATCATGATCTCATAACGGCAGAGCCTGTGCTATGATACTCAGACTGCTGTTAAACATACTCAAATATTTCTAAATCAATAAATATTATGGATAAATTAGACACAGACACAGAACAAATGATCGTGGTCATCACAAAACTATGTGTCCTGGGTGGGAATCGAAGGTTTCTTTAGTTTAGCAGTCAGGTTAACCTTCTCCCGAGTCTTTTCTGATTCTTCAATAGATTGATTGGTAGGAGGAAGCATTGATCAGTTGATGTTAATGTCTTAATAGCCCCTCCAATTACCGTGGTTTACTGTAAGAACCTGGTTTCTTCGAGCTGTTATATTCAATTCAATTCTTTATTAATAAAATTTGTAAACAAAAACAACCTTACATCAACTTAGGAACTATAAAATTACTCTTTAAAATTTAGATATGTATAAATATGTTTTAAAATTATGCTTTGGGAGTCGAAAAATATATCTGCATCTGGACTATACTGAAGGAACTCATTGATAAGCCTAATGGCTATAGCAGTGGGGCTATGGTCAGCCAGGGGAGAGCGCCACGACATAGTCCCATTCCTGGATCCTCATTGAAAACTTGCGACAACTCCTAATCTAGTTTCCTTGCCTTATCCACGTCTTTACCTTAATTAACCTTCTTAATAGTCTAAAGAGTTTATATTCCCGAAATGACCTTGGCGTCAAGTGGGCTGCTGGTCGTTGCAGAAGCCAGTCTAAACCTAATAATTGGGCAGATAAAGTGGAAAGCTAAATGTTGATGATGATGGTAGACAAAAAATATCACCTACATTTAAACAGTTATCTCATAGATCTTATAGAGATTTAGCCACGGTTTAAGAAAAAGGGTTTTTTAGTTTTTTCAATTAGATCAAAAATACCGTGTGAGACCCATGCGTTGATGAAGATAGGCCCGGCTCAACGCACGGCCTCACA